CACTGCACTGCACTATATATTGTCAATATGTAAAATAAATTTCAGAATGACCAATAATTGTACTGTAAAAACATAAAAATAATTTATGTTCACGAGAGCCACAAGCAAGATGTTTCCTCCACTGACCAGAGTCAAGTGGATGATTGGCGCACCCAAAACTAGTTTCCTGTACTCCAATTATGTTAAATAAGTGTTAAAATGACTAAAAAATTTAATATAAAACTTGGAAAATTATTGAATAGTAACAACTTTCTTGATATTTACTCAAATGGGAACGAATTTAAGCCCTAGAACCGATTACTGTATTGGCAGACTTATATTCCAGCTGGTGAGCAAGCGAAAACATGTTGACATGATTACGTAAAAATTTTGTTTACCAAATTTTTGTTCGTTAACCGAATTGAAGATTCTTATGGAAGGGACTTCATTAACCAATGATCACTGAACAGTATATTTAAAAAATAATTTATCAAGCATTGCCTAGTTGGGTTTGAAACTGATAATTTGATTATTAAGATTCTAAGATTATAATCCCCCCCACAAATATAAAAAACAATACAGTAGGGATAGTGGACTACGTATTAATCAACCACTAAGTTCTATTTCTTACTTGCTGTCGAAAGTTGCCGACTTACTGTATTACTTATTATGGTCAGCTTGAATACTGTATATATTTTGGTGTGAATTAGTCAGTAAACTATTGTAACTTATGCCACACTATTTATAATTTTTACGGTATTAATAGGTTTTTGGCTAATGCTGTACTGTACTTGACGAAAGTGGTCTGACCATTGAACCGACACGAGGAAATTTCTCCATATAATATAAAGCTTTCTTACCATGAGAAAATGAAAGCCACACACGATCTTGACATGCTCAATGCTTAGACTGTCGGAATGGTTTTTGTTGCAGTAAGGAATTCTATTTCATATTAGAAGAACAAAATAGAAAATAGTTGTAGTATTTTAGGTTCGATTAAGCATGGTAGGTTAGTTTTTTCATTGTACTGTACTGTATAAGTCTTAAGTTATAAAATGTAATACTATTCAAAATAAAAAAGAAGTTTTGTAGGATAGTTTTCTCCTCATCAAGAACAAATTATATACAGGTATAGAATGTAACAATATGCAAAAAATATATACTGTGCCTATATACAGTACAGTGTATAAAACAAACCAACTTTTGATCACAGAAAGTAAACATGGCTGACAGAGGCAGTTCCTCCCAAGACAGTAATGTAAGAAATCATATACACAGGGTAAATTAAATTAGACAAAACTCATTCCTTCTGCATTTTTTGTTGTTTCTATCGTCAAGTACAGTTTTATGTTTTTTTTTTTTTAAATGTTGATTTCTCAAACCCATTAAGTTTATTGATTGATCAGAATTCCCAATACAGGTTTGATCCCGCTAATCCGGGGCCCGATAGTTCGGCAGCTTCTATGGTTCGGAACGTCTGTCATAGCTCACTATTTTACCCTTAAATACTTATAATTCACCCCTAAATATGCCTCCTAAGAGACCAGCAAGCAGTGGAAGTGGTTGCAATGCAGCCAAACGTAAGCATGTGGCTTTAACTATTTTAGAAAAAGTGTCAATACTGAAGAAATTACAGTGGTACATTGGTCAGGGCCTTCTGTACCTTTCTTAAACCTCAGCTTTGATGGTTCGGAATTTTCGATAATCTGGAATTGGTCTGGTCCCAAGCTTCCCGGATTAACGAGGTCCAACCTGCACTGTATATCCCAGTACAGCCTAATACAGTACAGTAAAGTGTTTCTCTGAGATTAAACTAAAAGTGAATTACTGTACAATACTTCATAAACATGTAAAGTGAGGAGCTACACAGTCAAACAACTGAAAACCATCAAGAGATCTTCCTCTCGATAGAAAATAGCCATGAACTACCCAGCCAGCAGCTTGATCAATGTCTACAATGTCAGCATTATTAGTGATAACTCTTCATCAGGATCTTCACCAATTTGTGTTTAATGCCACAGACTAAAAATCTGGTACGATGGGATAAAATACTTGGCATGTACTGTACAGTATAGTTGAATTGAAACAGTTTATTTAGCCATAAAAACACAGATACAGAGTGGATAATAATAACAATATTAATATGGCTGAGCCAGTTGAGAACCTGAGCAGTAGTAGAGAACTGCTTCTGAGTGTTCCAGCAAGAGAAAAAAATCATCGAGGAACTATACGAGTTTTTTGCAGGCACCAACTGTACTTGCTAATATGTTTGGCAATGCTTGGTGCTTTGTTCTTGCTAAAATTAAACACAGCTCATAGATGTTCTCTATTCATTCACCAGAACCAGAAATTTAAATTTATATTTCGTTTTTGCACTCACCAAATCAGATTTATGTGCATTAAACAAAAACATTTTGGAAGTTCCCAAAGAAATACAGAATTGCATAAAAAATTTGGAGTCATCTAGACATTTACCTCTTCTGTAACTCATCAATCATAAACAACCTTCACCACATTTTTTCCCCACAATAACATCATATTAATTAAACATTGTAAACAAAAACTCACCTCCACAGCAATACTCATAACTGTAGGAAGTTATTACAGAAAAAATCTACATCATAACTAAACAAAAAGATGGGCAACATCACCCAAACAAGGGAAGGTAAATGTTATGAACACAGGTGTCACTTACTAGCAGTTTGGAGCATTTGTTTACTGCACATCTATTACTGGAGTGGGTAGCTACTGTTTCCTCTTAGCAATGCCGCTATTACACTTACTTTTTTTTAAACAAAATTAATAGCTACAGTATTCCAAAATGATTTTACAAACATGAAATGAAACTTCCTGTCCCACACAAGTACCCCCCCCCGTCCGACTAATTACCCAAATGAGGTTAAATAATGGTCCTACATGAATAAATCGGACTGCTAAGCACTTCTCGACTAGTATTTGGTGTCACAAAGTAAAAAAAAATTGGAAAACTTACTTTAATCTGAGTTAATAGATCGCGTGCATGTACCGAGGGAGCGAGTTATTACCCAAATGTAGCCGCGATGAAGTCAACTGATGGTCGTAGAAGTGTAAATCGGGCTGTGAATCACTTCTCGATTATTATTTGGTGTCAAAGTCACAAAAAATTGGTAAACTTAATTTAATCTGAGTTGTGTTGTGTTAGGTTAGGTTAGGTACATGCACTCGATCTATTAACTCAGATTAAATTAAGTTTACCAATTTTTTGTGACTTTGTGACACCAAATACCAGTCGAGAAGTGATTGGCAGTCTGATTTATTCATGTAGGACCATTATTTGACTTCATTGCGGCTACATTTGGGTACATTTGGGTAATTACTCGCTCCCTCGGTACATGCACGCGATCTATTAACTCAAATTAAATTACGTTTTCCAATTTTTTTTTTACTTTGTGACACCAAATACTAGTCAAGAAGTGATTGGCAATCCGATTTATTCATGTAGGACCATTATTTGACTTCATTGCGGCTACATTTGGGTACATTTGGGTAATTAGTCGGACCCCCCCCCTACTTGCCTTAGCACCTGTGAATTAACAAATATGTTTACTTAATTTCACTGTACCTGCTTTTAGTGGGAACAAACAACTGAGCAATGACAATACTCAGAGGCTTATCCAAAGGTAACATCATTGTTCTGATATATGATAAAGGGAATTAGGTTTTGTAAATGCACGTTAAAAATTCATAGACTATGGCATCTGAGGTTGTGATACACGGGATAAAACACCCATTGTTTGTAATTTTATAAACACTGTTAAAAAACATATCTTGGTTCTAATTTAATTAAGCAGTAGATATTTTGCCATGACCGGTAAGTTCCTACTAACACTATTTTACTGTGAGTGTGCTCTAATTGGCTAATCATCTATTACCGGCGAACGCGAGAACTATATTTGACCGTGACTCTGGCGGCATTTGGCATTTATCTCACTGTGAGTTGATTGTTGTGGAGCTGTAAACATACCTAACCATATTTCTGTTGTGCATCGAAACTTATCATTATAAAAGAGGCATCATTTACTAGATCCTAATAAAACCAAACCTTACCTAACTTCCTTGGGAAGGGGGGGGACAGACCGCCCCTTCATGTCAAACAGAAAGTACTTAGCCAATCAAAGCACACTCACGGTAAAATAGCGTTAGTAGGAACTTCGGGGTCATGGCAAAATATCCTCTAAAATTTAATTGTGAGGCTGGCTCTTCTACAAAAAAACAATACCCCTGAATGAACTTGTTATTACTGGATCCAGAGTTGAAACTACAAGAAAAATAACTGAATTTACACTGATACCAGTAAAGCTAAGTAGGCCATGGCATCTCCACCCGTGTAAATTTATAAAAAAATCTTATTTCCTTTCTTTCTGTTTGTTTATACATAACAGCTCTCCCCCCTCCCCCCAATACACACTATGAGTGTTATAAGAACAATACAGTACAATATTAGCCCTGATTGTAGAATTTTCATTAAGGGATTATTTTACACAATATTAAGTAAACAAAAACAAGCTATAAAACTTTTACACGCAGAATTATTTTGCATGATGTTGACTCAGCCAGTTTAATTTTTCATTTAATTTCTAATAACTTTAACTATGACACGTATTCCAACACTAAAAAACTGTTACGTACAGACCAGGTTGAGAACAATGATGAAGACATGCAGGTTTAAAATATATCCACAACATTCCTGCCGTGTACGCTGGCAGATCCTGAACACGAACGAATACGCGTCATTTTGTCTTAACATTCGTATACTTTGACGACAGAACAAGATAACTTTGAATTTAACTATTCTAAACTAAAAAATCAGTGGGTCGGACAATTCTTTCCTTATCTTGCATCTGGTATGAGTTGCAAAATTTCTTGACCATCTTGAAACTGGAAGTGTAGCAAGTTGGTGCACAACACATACGGAGTAAGATATCAATTATATAAAAATTAGTACTGTGAAGACCATGAACTAGAGGTGATTGATATCATACCTTCCTGGGTGTCCATAAGTTCGAGGTCCTTGTCAGGGGTGGGAGGTTCAGTGACGTGGTTCATGACTGGCGGCGCTGGCGGGTTGTTAGAGGCTGGTGGACCAACTACCAGGTCGGCACGGGGGCCTCCTCCTCCTCCTGCCCCTCCTCCTCCTCCAGAACCCTTATTGGCTCGACGGCCGCCGCGATCACGACTACCAGCACACCCGTTCTTGCCAGACACGGGAACTTTGAGAGCGTGCTTGCTCGCTATGCGCCCAATGTCTGCAGCTTGCCACCACCCCCGTCACCAGGGGCAACCGAGCACACATATAGACGCGAGCCTTCCACAACCAACGACAATACTTGTATCTCAGTTTACAAACCACACAGCTTCACGATCCCCAGAGGGAATTACATCAGGTACCGGTGAGGAGCTTCATTCACCAAGACTTGTCAACTGCTTCTCCATCGGCCACCGCAGTCTTCTAAAACAACCAATACTAACTCTTGTTACTCTTATTTCTCCACTTTTCCCGTGTATAATTCGATGATTTTTGTCTTCTGTCTAGGTTATGTGTACCCAAAATAAATTTTACGTTCAACGGATATCATTGTATGTATTCAAAATTGGTAATAAGTATTTTCAGTGAGCACATCGTGTTGGAACCCTGGCCAACTGGTGCAAACAAATGGGAAAATGGCGCTTGAACGTATCACTTGGTTTACTCGTTCGATTTTTTCTGTAACCCTTATCTAATGATATATGGCTAACTCATAAAATGATTGGTAAATGCATATAGATTACAGCTAAAATATCAGTGAAAGAATACATGACACGAAGATTCCTGATGAACAGTTCCCAGTATCGAGGATGCAAGACGAATATCCTTGACCATGGAATACTCGAGTCACTCACGGCGGTAAATTTAAATGTGCATTCCGTCACGCTAGCTATTTTCACCTACCTAAATACAAATATTTATACCGTACACACGTGTTGCATGATGACTATTACTAAGAATAATTCAATACATTTATATTTCATAACAATAAACCTGCAAACTCTCCTTGCTTGCCAAAAAGACAATGTGAAATGAATTTTGTAAAAAAAGCCTTCACTACTCACGCCGCCTCTGAGTGTTCAGCAACATCCAATAATCAATATCATCAAAACAACGGTAAACCCAAAGCTTTCCCCCCTGATACGTAAAGTATAAAAAAATAATGATGGTAAAAACACACCATTCCTCGACACCAAAACAACATTCACTACACCACGTGCAGTACATTTAAAAGGCGCTTTACTACGTATGACGCATAATGACAGTAATTATACTTTTATCAAGTGTACTGTACATGTAATTATAGCGTACACTATCAAGATGGTTATAAAACACTGGGTGATAGTTGTGAGGAGTCCTGCCCAATATTAATACTACGACTTTTACATCTAATACTGTTGTACTGTTACTTTTTTTTTAATTGGCCTCCAGCCCCCCCCCCCCCAATAGCCATACCTTCGCCACCATTTTATTACCTTAATATTAAATATTATAATACATAAGTAGCTATCCTAGCTGTGTTGAGTTAGTTGAGCCGCAGATCTACGCGACATTCAGTGACTTGCCTCATAGTCAATATCTGCAACTGCTGTCGGCTTTGGGGCCGTGCTCTCGTTTCCCTGAGGCAGAGCAAAGCCGACCTAAGGAGAGAAGACAGTCGACATCTCATCCAAGCTGTAACATAGCTTCTGGGCTGCTGCTTCTGTTTGGATATCACCTCCGCGAGTCTGGCGTAGAAACATCTTGCACTTGGTCCCATCCCACCAGAGGTTGTGAACACTAGAGGAGTGAGGCTGCCTTGATCAACGTTCTGAATTCTCTCCCCGCATGCCCTTATCTTGTCGTTCTCGTTCCTCCTATGTGCAGCATCGAGAGCTAGGTTACGGTGACAAGCGGCCATGGGATAAAAAATCCTGATGTCGAAGAAGACTCGCTGTCCCCGCGTCCAGAATCCTCGAGCACTGAAGTCAACACAGGCTTCGTTGGATGTGTTTGAAGTCCTATATTGGAAAATCTCACCGTCCAATGGAAGGAGGGTCGGTTCTACCATGACATCACGGCAGATTTCCTTCAACAAATTTGTTGTGAGATCCCTTACTTCGTCATTCCTCATGCTTATGAAGCCCCCTTTCTTGCACACCATGGCGTGATCGACGTCATAGGAAGAGCCACACACGCATTGGGAAGGCAAACCTTCTACTGGCCTACCGTACCTTAGAGCATTGGCATCTGTAAATTCTTGTTTATTGAGACTGAAACCATTTGCCCTTATCGGTAACGTAGTTAACCAGTTCCAGGCGCCCACCTCCTGCGCTATAGCTACTTTTTTTTTTTAATTTGCAGGTACTTGCAGCAACAGTTGCTGCAACTTATCACTTTGGCCGTGCTGTAGCTACTACTACTACTACTAATAATAATAATAATAAAATTTAGAATACAGTATTAGTCTTAGTAGTAATAATAATAACAAATAATGCAGCAACAATAATAATAATAATTATTATAATTAGACTTCTGGATACTCTTCCTCTAGATGATCCATTTTCTGCAGATAGAGAAAAAGTTATTTAATGTAATGGTTATAACCAGAAGCTGCTATGAATGGCAACATCTTTCCCATCACAGTCAGATGCAGTATCCAATTTCCTGTGCGTTCAGCCCTGATAAATGCTTGGGGTATAGAAATCATTTCTAAGTAGTGTAACGAAAGCTTGGAGATCCGTGATTTTTTTTCAAATCTTCTTTGGCCACATCAAGTTGATGCTGTATCTGTTCCAATGTGGCCGATTTCTCAACATCTCTCAATGTGATTATTCCAGTTATCAGGTCATCATAAAGTTTCTGGGCTTTTTTCAGTATGTCTGGAGGAGCTTGCTTTTGCTCAGGTGAACTGCTTCTCAAATCATCATCTACAGAGACTGAGTCATCATTTGGTGCATCTACAACCTCTGCTTTGTTTGGTAACACAGACCTTTGATACAAGTAGCATGTGGATAGAAGCACTGACAAGATGCCCACGGACAGCCCTGTCATTGCCTTACCACTGAGGATGTGTGGCACAGCATTACTGGCATAGACAGTGTATTACAATTCTCGAAGCCCAGACCCTGACATTGTGACCAATACATCCACGGTAGCTCATTTGGGTATGGAAGCCTCCAAGACGCAACACAATAGATCTAATGACATTTTCAGAATGACTGATTTTTTGTATCATAAGTGCCTTGAGCCATCATGGTTGATCAAATGTGAGGATGGGCGTAGCTTTGAAACAGGTAGCATGTTCACTCACATAATTCATTGTGGAATATATACTGTATACAAGTTGTGTCACAAAACAAATATGTTAATAAAATCAGCCTCCACTCGGTATAACTCGGCTATTTGATGGCCATTTTGAATTTATGCATTTTAGACAGTGTTCGCATTTTTTGTATATTCAGTTATACGTTTACTATTTCATTTGAGTCATGTGCTCAAGTTGAATAACGTTAAAATAATTACTATTGCAATTTGTTCTGAGTCTTTCAATATTTTCCCTGGTCTCTAACGCAAACTTAACCCAACACTAACCTAATCGAACCGAGCCTAATGTAACATAACATAACCTAATCTACCCTAATTTAACCTAGCCTCCCAGATAGCGTTAGACTTTAATAATCAGGTGAAACACAGCTGGGGCTAATATTCAAGTGGTCTCAGGAAAATTACTTTATTTTAGAACTGTTAAATTAGAAAAAAAGCTGGGGAACCTTTATCTTCTGTGATCACCTGAAGATTAGCCCCCCAGTGTATTTCACCTGATGATTAAACACCTCAGCATCATACCAGCAGTGGCGGCTCGTGCATAGGGCTGCAGAGCTGCAGTCCCCCCAGACACTCACTGCCAGGCGTATGATTCCTTTAGAGAGACAGCTGAATAATACACTACCAACAAATATATCATTTTAAATGTTATTTAATTATTTTCAATACGTTGCTAAGTGAATTTTCATTAAAATCAGACCAAAATTTAAGTTACTTTCATAGTTGCTGTCAATGCTGTACGATTCATGTCTGTTATTAATTGGTGCCGCCGCCGCCGCACAATGAGCTGCACTTGAAGCAGCTCAGTCTCGTACAACGTGTGGACGGTGTGGTTAAATCGTGCTTTCTTTAATTACCCTTTGACGATGGAAAATCGAGTGAAGTATTTGCAAATCATCAACTTTTCCCAGCTGACATTAAATGAAAAGACTGAAATCAAAGCAAGAGGAAGACCTACACCAGTTTTATCCATTCAACAGAACAGTACAAGCAGGAACAAAGAATATACACGCCAGTTTAACATGAGTGTTTATCAGAATGACAGACTGTCTGCTTTAGCAGTGATATCCATTGAAAATAAAATGACAACAGAAATAAAGGATTTTAATGAAATAGTAATAAACAATTTTGCTACATCGAAGAGCAGACGTGCCGACTTTATTTTCAATTAATACTGGTCCATCACCACCAACACTACTACCATGCCCTGGGAATTCGTGGACATCAACTACAACTCATACCTGAGGTAGGTCAAATTTGTGTATCCTACTGTTGTGTGAGGCTTGCAGTCCCTCCATTTTATTTTTCACGAGCCGCCACTGCATACCAGTATTTTTCCCGACAACTTACCCGTTTTCTGTCGTTTTGTTTTTTTCAACTAATTGTCAATTTTTCTAGTCTCGCTCAGACGAAACGTACCTTTTCCGCCTGAATGCTTGGTTTGAGTAAATTTCCGTGGTTAAGCCAAGATCTAGACTCTATAAAGATATTTATAAAAAATAAATATTGAGCCACGTCAAATAACTAAATTTAATTTTAAAAGAATACAGTCTCGCATATTTAATCAATTGCTAAATATAATTTTATTTATTGATGTTGATATTCGCAACTGCATCTGATGTTTGTTTACATTGCGATTTTTTTTAAGTGGAATAGCCCACCCGGGCACAGGTCACTGACCCACAACGGGGCCTGGGGGAGGGGGGGTAAGAGTAAAAGGAATGGGGCGCTGCTGGTAGAGCGGTACCGCTCTTGCCTAGCAAGCAAAATGTCACGGGTTCGATTCCCTGGCCGGCAGAAGTTGTTTAGACACTCTTCCTGGTCCCCTTGGTCCCTGTTCACCTAGCAGCAAAGTAGGTACCCGCTGTAAATCGAAAGTTGCGAATTCGTATTCAGGGACAAGTTGTTGGAGCTTCCAATAACTTGCTTAGACATAAACCATTGACTCTTCAGGCTTCTACGCCCTTAACTCATGAGACATGTTGGGCGCTGTAAACGCTTCTCCGCTTCACCTTACACAAGGATGTAGGGGGGGGGGGGTGCCCAATAAAAAAAAAAGTAAAAGGAAATAAAAAATAGAAAAGAAAAAGATTATATTAATCTACACCACGAAGATGTATCTATTCCTCTATTGACGAGCTATTATACATATAGTTCTCCATGCATGTGTGACAGCGCGCGCTCAAAAAAATGACAATCCATAGAAAATTTATGCAACAAAATAACGGGAAAAGTGCTAGTGTGACGCCGCCTTAAACACTACCTGGTGG